GGAGACTGGGAGTTCCTGAGGGAAGAGTAAGCACAAGGCCCAGAACCACAGCTGGTAATCTGGTAGGAGGTCGTGCAAAGTAAACACAAACTTTTAAAGAGGATCTGTATAGGCCATTACTGCACGAGCAGAGTGGGATGGGAGGAGATTGTATAAAAAAATTAAAAAAAAAAGAGAGAGAGAACATGGGGTCCGTATGAGAACTTCCCACCTCCCGTGTGTGTCATTTGCTAGAGCAGGCAAAACAAAAACTTTTTCCCACAGAAGTTTCTACCCCAAGTCTGGTCAAAATCAAAGCCACAGGGTGTCGCTTTACATTATTATATCAAGTAGTGACAGATATTTAAGAACCAGACTTTAGCTTTCATCATGTCCACTTGTCATGCTCAGCTCTAATTTAACTTAATAGCCCTGCTGATGATCAAAAGTGCTTAAAGCCGAAGCCAAGTATGAAGGCAGATCTGTGCATTTTTCAGTATGCGAGATCTGAGATCATTCACTGATTTCTCAAAATCATTCTGGGCCCTGATCTAGGGTCTGCTATGGTACATTAACCCCACCTTATCACGCAGCTCAAATATTTCCCCCCCTAAGCATTGCACCATAACAAACCCATGGACCTGCAAAGAAAGAAAAAAAAAAAAAAGGTCAGCTAAACAGAGAGGAGTATGTTTCGGTTTGTTCGTGCACGTTTTTTTTATTCGCTGATCAAAAGAGGGCAAACTTGAAAGAGTTTGGGTCTTCAGGAAACCTTTTCCAGTTACTGCACATGCAAAAATCCCACTCAGACTGCACAGAAAAGATAAGAAGTATCGGTAATTCCCTCCACTCTCTGGTGACTAGACCAAATGTAAGCTTTTTTTTTTTTTCCCCAAAGTGAGACCAACATTTAAATAAAACAAGTTGGTGAGCGAGCGTTCCCCTGAGTCATAATTATAACCGTCGCACGGTGTCCCTTCATCTGAAACAATGCAGCGTTGTCTAAAGTGGGGCGTCTGTCAATAACTCAACATGTTCCAACTTTTGATGATCACATGAACTGAGGTTTCTAAAGTAAACATGCACACAAACAGACATTTATTTAGTCACTAAATCATGTAAAAAAAAAAGAGTATTTAGCATAGCAGAGATCTACTGTACTAACCACTGTCAATACTACAACATAATGGGGAATGGGATATTTTTGCACATGAATCAACCTGTTACACTTCCAAGTAAAAATTCCAAAGGTATAGTATCATTCCACGTTGAAGTACATTGGGAAATACAGCTGGAAAGACAAAAAGTGTGAATCTAGCTTTTTTTTTTTCCATTTTTCTTTTTTTACTTACTAATACTCGCTATCAGAGCCAGTGTCCTGGCTGGAGTTGGTATAGCTGTCTGTTTGTCATGCTGTGGTTCATTTGCTTGCTACACTTCTTGTTAAGAGATAATAAGGTTCACTTTATCCGTTTCAGCAGTGTGTTATTGTGCAAACTGCAACACTAGAGCCAAAGTACCCAGGGAGACATGATGAATACACGCAGAAACAGTGACAGTGCCATCTAGAGAAAAATGTCATAGTTTACATCATTCAACAAAGTTCAGCCTGGTCATCGGGACAGTTTTTTTTTTTCTTTTTGTTGATTCGTCCTTCATCCAAAGAACTTCATCAGTCCGAGGAGCCGCAACAAATTTAATTCCACAAGCAGCAAACCCAACACGGTGGACAAACAGGACAATAATAAGGGGAGCAGCCTTCCCACCACCTCGGACCTCTACAATTCACCATGCAGGGGGAGAGCGCTCCGCATCATGAAGGACTCCACTCATCCCGCACACAGTCTGCTCCAGCCTCTCCCCTCAAGCAGGCGGCTGAGGAGCATTCAGAGCAAGACCACCAGGCTCAGAAACTGTTTCTTTGTCAGACTGCTGAACTCGAGCTGCACTTAATTCAGCTTCATCTTACATTTTGTTTAAACCATATATATTTATTTGTTTGTTTATTTATACTCTTTTGTATTTATTTATTTGTTAATTGTTAGGCTTCTTGATCTGGGACCTGAGTCCGAATTTCGTACCATAAACATGCAAATGTGAGCTGGTATGACAATAAAAAAAAACTTTAAGCCTTGAACTAGTTTGCTGGTGATAAGATGGTTTTTGGGGCCCGCCCTCTCCTCCGTCTATTCCTCTGAGGCAGCCATAACCAAAGTGGTTCAAAACATCAACATGAAAACATCAGGAGTCGACAGGGGAGAGGGCGAGCCCCAGAAACCATCTTATCACCAGCAAACTGATTGGTTCATTATGTGGGTTTGCTGCTTGTAAAACTCAAGTTTGTTGTGGCTCCTCGGACTGGAGAAGTCTTTTGGATGAAGGATGAAACACTTCATCAAAAAAAGAAGCTATCCAGATGAACTGACTGACGTTTGATGGATTTTCTACCTGGATTATTGATAATGAATTTTGAAGATTACATCATTATTAATCATTTTAAATCACATGACGACCAAAACAGTTTAAAAAGTTCAGGTTTCTGCATAAAAAAAAAAAAAATAAAAAAAAAAGCAAAACGTCTTGTCATTTCTCTTTAAAAATAAATCTGTGTCAGATTTAGAATTGCAGCCCAAGACTGCCAGGCCTATTCCTGTAAATATTGCATCGAAACAAAATAAACACTGATAAAGAAGGTCAAGCAAACCAAGGCAAATTTCTCCATTTTGCTGCATAAATGTTTGAATGGTATTTGGAGATACGCAAAAGTTTCCTATTGAGAGCGCACAAAGAACCGATTCAAGTGGGGTCACTGTGAATGTTACACAGGCTAAGAGTGGGAAGCGTCCAAGTGTTATGGCCTGGAAAAGTGCATAACAGAACACGAAGTGGGGCCAAGTCTTCCAGTCTATTTCACTGGTGGACAATCGGGATCTGTGTAACCAATCTGCTCAGCCATCAGTGTTATTGTAGCACAACCATAAGGCCTAGGATAAAGAGAAACCTCTGGTATAATAACCAAACAGTGCTTGATAAATTCATGCTGCTTATTGTTCATGTGTTGGCTTCAGAGGGGCAACAAAAGGCGATTCATTATTCTCCGTTCCCTGAATGTAGGTCAGTTTGCTTTATGCTTGTGATGGAGAAGACATCCATGAGATGAAACTTTCCAGTTTCTAAACACACTCATTCAGCGCAGTGGTGCTTGGATTTTACATTTTTGCCTCATTTTATTTCATTATGTGGGTGGGCATTTTTGAATGAGTCCCTTTATCGTGCTTTGTGAGCCCACTGGACGTGAGTGGGCTCCCTGAAGGCAGCGCGCTCTCCACCAAATTATGCATCATTGTAAACGAAGACGGTCTCGTTGCCTCCGGGGTACAAGGAGAAAACACTGATATTCTATTCTGGGCCTTGTGATTTCTGCATCTAGAACTTGGACACAGTGTTTTGGATTTTATGCGCTCAAATTCTTCAAATGGCTTCGCCCGAGCGGTCTGCTCATCTGTTAGCTCGTGTGAACAGCTGTGCCCCGGGATCGCCTGCGTGTCGGGAAACAGCTGTGGGGATTCAACATACCTTAACCGATTCCACATTCTGCCCAAAGGAGAGCCAGCCATGTGAGATCATGGTTTTAGGTGTGTCCAATTAGCTGGGCCAACTTGAAGAGGAGCACTTTTAGAGGAGAACACACGTGCTCTTCTTGCCGAACAATTAGTGGTGTTGTGCCAAAACAGCATTTGTCACCGCTTCATTAACAAGACCTTCTAAAAAGGGATTAAAACACTGTTTTTGTTTCATCCTGTTAAGACTTCCTGAAGTTATGTGATCCAATTGATTCTTGCAGGATCGGACTTTGGAAAACAAATGAAGCGCTTTGAGCAGGTCACATAAAATCTGTACATATGGATGCATTTGGAGACAGAGCGAAGCAGCGGATTTTGTCACCCCCCCCCCCCCCCCCACAAAAAAAAAGTAACCACAATTAACACAGAGAACATATGGAAGAATGGTTCACTTCACCCAATTTTACTGAAACCACAGAAGACATTTAGTTGCTCCCTTTTTCTGCCAAGTTGTGTGTCTGATCTCAGAAAATAACACAAGTCACACTAAGCGGGCGCTTTTCTTCCTCTCAAGTATACATCATTTTCCTAAAGCCTATTTTTACATAAAGGGAAATAACGGTGACACAGGGCAGGATAGAAATTTTTGCACATCTGTCATGGAGTGCTGGCTTTAAAATGATCGTATGCTCAAAGTCTCCATTTTACTTCAAATTTAAAAATCTCAACATCTCGACAGATTGCCTGCGAATGCCACAAGAGACTGTAAAAAAAAAAAAAAAAGCCCTGGAAACTCATTTTCTTCTTTTAATGATTCCAACCGCTGGAATAAAAGCGGCTGACATCATCTCACTCTATATGGACTAAAAACAAAAACCTGATGGGAAATTCCATCAAGTCACACACACACACACTTCTTCAGAGCAATTTTCTTTGACTGGTGGACGTATTTGTGTATGATCCACTGTCGGTTTGAACCCTGGTGAACGAACCACTTCCACAACAACCGTTCGGCCCCTCGCAGTGACAGAGAAGGCCGAATGTTTATCCCTGCAAAATAGTTCCCATGACCCCTGCACATGGTCGAGAAGAATTTCTCAGTAAATTTCTGGAAGCAGGAAATGAGGAGAGTTCAAAGGTCGAAGTGTCTGCGACGACCCCGACTCCTCTGAGATGCGCTGGAAGGACTAATAGTTAACCAAGCTGCTTTTTGTGGATGCGTTACGTGACAAAAGGTGGCATTATGCTCATGTGTCAAACAGCTGGCTGCTGAAAGTTTGAGTTATATTTGTGCACAACGAGGGGGGGTGAAAAACATATCCCACACACTCCAAACAAGATTGAAAACAAGATTACTTTCTGCATTTTAAAGCCACATAGACATGCTCTAATATCATAATCATGTTATTCTTCATCACAGCTGCTTTTCTAAAATGACTGTTTATTCTGAATACTCACCTCAAAGCAGAGCTTCTCATGTGGGACTGAGATCCACGATCATCCATGACAAAACTCAATGGCTTAACCAAATCCTTGGGACTAAAACACAAACAGAGAGAACAATTCATGTTTAGTGTCTGCACATTAAAGGTGACAACAACTGAGCTGCTGCTTTTTCAGGCGACAGGAAAAAAAAAAAAAAAAAAGAGGCTACTAAATCTCTACATGTGGGCGAATCCCACATGAGGTCACCAGTTTAACCATTTCATCAGTTTTGATCGTGAACATAAGTTAATTGTCGTACCTTACCTTGAATCCAGATGGTTTCTGAAGCAGTTGTCAACTTCCATCAGGAAGAAGAAAGGAAGAAGTTAGCTCCAAACAGGTTTGATTTGTTGCTGTGAAGTATCTTATGCAGGTTCATTCCAGTGTTTATCTTCGACTTCTGCCGGTCAGAAATGCATTGTTTATTTCCTAAATCAGTCAACACAAATGTGCAACGACTTTCATCCGTAACATCGCAGGCAGACACGCCAAACTCACTGCTGCTGCATCGCAACGCCGAGCTGGAAAAAAGTTGGGCGGTTCTCCTGTTCCTGTCAGAGGTCCCAAAGGAGCCTTTGCTTTTGTCCAGGTTTACATTTTAAAGCATTTATAGTAAGAACTCACTACAAAACGTCATGTGCAGCACTAACAGTTAATCCATTCAACGTAAAATAAGTTGAAACTCGTGAAAACACCGCGGCGTCGCTGTTTATTTCTGCGCCTGTTTGCCCACAGCGACACCTGGTGGTTGAATATGAAACTACAACAACATCTGATCCGTCAGGAGGTCGCTGTTGTGTTCCTAATTTTTTTTTTTTTTTTTTTTTTACATTTGGAAGTATTTTACTATATATTTAATAGAGATTTTTTCCTTCTAAATTATTTAGCTGAAACAATGAAAATATTTAGCTTTTAAACAGTTGTTTGCTTTTTTTTCCCCCTCCTCAATTGAGTACTGAATATGGGAGTGTGGGAGTGGTGGGCGCAAGAGGTTAGAGAAGATGGGCCTGTGATCGGAAGATCGCTTATTCAACTCTTGGTACTGACAACATTAAAAAAATGTTGGGATAGGTGAAGCACCCACACCTGCCCCACCCTCATTTGCCCCACTCTGGGCCCTTGAGCAAGGCCCTTAACCCCCACTGTCTGCACCCTAGATCGCAGCTCTCTGCACCACATAGAGAGCTCTGGTGGCTTAGTGATCTGTGGTTGCATCAGGAAGGGCATCCAGAGTAGAAATAATTTCCAAATCTTTGTGCGAGTTAGTACCTGTGGCGACCCCTGAAGAAGGGAGCAGCCGAAATAATAAAAATTTGAGTGAATATGCTTATATGTACAAGCTTGTAGTTTAAGTAACTGATTGGGTTTCATGGACAAATATAACTGTGTATCAACGGCATAACAATGAAAATTTTCCCCATGCTGTTTAATAACTTGACTTAATGGAAGCATATATAAAGTAAAAAAGTATTTGTCCAAGCACTGAACTCTGAGGAACTATATAAATAAATTAAATTGAATATTGGCATTAAGTTACATAAGTAATTAGAAAAGTTTACATTTCCATAAGAAACATTCTTTACCTGCAGAATCAAATATCATCTCAGGTGCAGCTTGGACAAGTTTTCTTCAACTTGCAATCTTATAAGAGTTGCACTCTTCATTTTATGTATTTTTCAATAGCATTTAAAAAAATAAGAACAAACTTGACAATAGCTAAATTACTCATGGATTCAAGGGACTGCAGATGCGAATTAGCTTTTGCTATAATCTGGTATAGTGCATCAAATTGTGACATTTATGTTTGAGTTGTGCATTGTCCCTTTTTAAATGAAGGTCATTCATTCATTTAGATCGTGTGTGTGCAATATTTTGATATCAGACCACCAAAATGAGAAACACACATTGAACTGGAGGAGCAACCATTCAGCCAGATCTGTTTTAATTTTTTGTATGTCAGAGATGTCTTTATTATTATTATTATTATTATTATTATTATTATTATTATTATTATTATTATTATTATTATTATTATT